CGACGGCGCCCCCTGACTGCATCACGCTCGGCCACATCGACGGCGCCCCCTGGCTGCATCACGCTCGGCCACATCGACGGCGCCCCCTGGCTGCATCACGCTCGGCCACCTCGACGGCGCCCCCTGGCTGCATCACCAGCGGCCACATCGACGGCGCCCCCTGGCTGCATCAACAGCGCCCCCTGGCTGCATCACCCGCTGCCACATCGACGGCCCCCCCTGGCTGCATCACCCGCGGCCACCTCGACGGCGCCCCCTGGCTGCATCAACAGCGCCCCCTCACCTGGTATCCGGGCGGACCCTTCAGCATGGAGCCGTCTCGGTCGAGGCGTTGTAGGATACAGGGCATCGACTTTGGATCGGCCGACAACTCAACCTCCGGACCGCCCAGCAGTAACCTGCAGATACAACGTCGTCATGGCAACCAATTACAGTCGTTGAAACCACAGCACATAGGGTGATAGCTGTCAATCAAACTGCAGCTTGATCGTTGTAGGGTCCGTGAGACAGTAAGATGGCGAAAGAGTGAGACAGTGAAATGGTGAGACAGCAATTTATTGAGACGATGAGGCACTGAGAGAGTGACAGTGCGAGGCGATGGGATGTTGAGATAATGAGAAATTGGGACGAGGCATTGAGACAGTAAGGGAGTCAGACAGTGAGACGATGAGACAGTGAGACAGTGAGGTAGAAAGATTAGGCAACAACATGAGATATTGAGACAGGGAGACAGTGAGGCGGTGAGGCGGTGAGCGAGAGAACTTGGCTAACCTTTCTGTAGTAAGCTGTGGGAACCTGTAGAACTGGAATGTGAAGAACACGGCACCATGCTGCCTGGCACCCACATGCGGTGGCGTCACCATCCTGTAATGCAGCAGCAGACATCGTTAGCAAATATCAATCGTTATCAATCATCGTGATCGGTCACAGATCAAACGGATTGTCATACGGATAAAATTTGAACATTTTTCATGGCATTCCAGTCCCTGCTTTCGGATTAATAAGGAATTTTGGGGAAATTACGGCAAGCTGGAGAGTCACCAAGGCAAATATTTAAAAAGAATACTTATCAAGGGCCTTTACTTTTAAACAATACACAACAACTTAACATTAGCAACCCATTACATGGGACATAGAGGGATACATAACATATGCAAAGCTTGAATTTTATGGAGCAGCAACGGATGCAGAGCAGGTAGGGTGGTGCAGCCACAATAGACCATCAAGTTGGACACAGTCCAACTTTCAGAACCAACCGGACAAGAATGCAGGGCGATCATGGCACTCGCCATTTGTGCCACCACAAAATCTGCACAGTTTGTGCCACCACAAAACCCGCAGTTTGTGCCAACACAATATCCGCACAGTTGTGGCACCACAAAATCACCACAGTTTTTGCCACCACAATATCCACACAGTTGTGGCACCACAAAATCCGCACACTTTGTGGCACCACAAAATCCGAGTCCTGAAATTGTCGTGGCTGTGACCGTTGCTCACATACCTGGAATACGCTAGAAACTGCAGCACAATCTCGTTGCACTGTAGCAGGTCGCCCGCCTCCTTCCTCGGGTCAAAGGTCATGACCTCGGTCGGGTCAATGACCTCGGGTGCTTCCCCCTTGATGTCCAGTAAGGAGGGGAAGCCGGCAGAGTAGAGGCGCGCGTAGGCGGCTCGAGATAACCCGTAGCTCCTACGATAAACACAGACAGGCATGATAGCTCAAGTAAAACCATATCACATACAACTCATTTGCAATGTAATTATAACTTATAATGTATAACTTATAATGTATAACTTATAATGTATAACTTATAATGTATAACTTATAATGTATAACTTATAATGTATAACTTATTAATGTTATTAATGTTATATTAATGTTAATTTATAATGTAATTTCATAATATCCCCCCCATAAACACGGACAAATAAATTATTACAATTAAGATATCAGAGAAAACTAACACCTATGAGTAACATAGGCAGGCAAGTTAGTGCAGAGTTAAGCTAAGATAAAACCGTAGCACCTACATTGATTGTATACTGCTATTGACTGTTTAGACTATTTTTGACTGTTTAGACTGTTTTTGACTATTGACTGACTTTTTTTATTGACTATTAGACAAACGGTTAAATCAACCTTACCTGCCAGACGTGGGACCTGTGACAAGTATCGGAGCGTGAACAGGAGTGAAGGGCAACTCTGTGATGTCACGTGACATGGCCGCATCTTGCTGCATAGTGCTGGACTGAAGCAGGAGATAGAAACGCAATCAGTAACAAAGTCATAGAAATAATACCTAATAATAACACGTACAATACTTATAGTAATACATGAAATAATAAGTGTATAGTAATAAAATATATAATTCGTATAATAGTAACTCATACTAATTAGAAATATAAATATATATATTATATCAGGAGTAGATAATAGAGATCTAGAGATCTAGAGATAATAGAGATCTCTATTATCTACTCCTGATATAATA